GGGCTCAGTGCTGAGTGCAAGCTGTACATACACGTATTTCCATGGCGTCAGTGGTCGGTCGGCATAATAGATGTGTCGCCACTCTTATCCAGATCACATCGGTTATTTAACACTGCAAGATAGAATACTGCATATTCGGAGCATTAATTCAAACAATTGGAGACGATAGAAGTCAACAGGCGCGAAACCGACCCGATACATGATGGAAATGAAAGTGAATGTAAGCGAGAGCATGACAAGACATTAATATCATGTGCTTAAATACAGCCTTCAGCTACTTGCAATTGGGGCATGATCGACAGAAAGGAGCTCCACGGAACTACATACCTCTCATTGAGACCCGCAGCATCGATCAGGACGAATCTCTGGCCTGAATCGACTGGGTGGTGTTCAGAGGTACAAGTGGATCCCGTTGCATCGCCAGAGGTCTGCGCGAGCAGTGTGCGCGATTGTATTGACGACTAAACTTTTCCCCGAGGCAGTTTCGCCAAAGATTAACATTTCTTCCCTCGCAGGGCGCGTTTGCTATATTTAATCGGTAAGTATTGTCGCGGCTCATCCTACCCGCTTCATCTCCTAGACAGTCCGCTCCATCCTATCCAGCATCAGCGGAACCTTTGAAGGCGATGGAGGACACCCGAAGGCCGTGTATGACCTTGCAGGTGCTTCAAACGATTTCGCAAGGGAAGGGGCAAACTTCATAGGAGATGAGGGACGTGAGTGGGTGGGGGGCTTCATAGGAAATACGCTTCTTTCACCAAACTTTGGACTTCTCTTCCCGAATTTGGTGGCGATATGCTTCTCTCGCCTGAGTTTGTGGGAGATGCACGGCGCTCGTCAACAGTGCAGACAGCAGAGTCTAGCAAGAAGGGCAGTTTCTGTAGTGTGTTCCCCTCACTCGGGGCCAGAGGGTTGTAGAGGGTGCGACAGATAACCGCCTGAGCCTTGGCAGTGGCACCTGTGTCAAGAATGGGTCGGGTTGTAGTGAGTGCTGATTTGCGGCGCCCTTGGATGGCCTATAGGATAGAAATTAGTTGGAAACACATCACGGGAGAGAAATGGTAAGAAAAAAGGAAAGGAAGTTAAACGAGACAAGGGATTTAGTAAGTCTCACCTAATGATGTGTCACTGGTAAGGTCATGGCGTTGCGCAAGGAAAGGAAAGCGAGGAGAGGCAGGCGACGCCGTAGCAGGAAGGATCCAAGCAAATGTAATAAGCTCCCACACGCTGTATACCCTGTAAAAGCTCAAATCAATTCAATTCCAAAACGCCATCCAAACACTCTATCATACGCATATCCAACCCAGCTTCAACAAAGATAAAAATATACGCTCGCCTTCAATGTTCGTCTTCTTACTCATTAGCATCATCCCCGACCCCTGCGTTCTCCTCCTTGAACTTTCACTCCTCCCACAACTGTCGATCGAGAGGCGTGCTTTGCCAAAGACGACGAGGATTGAAAGCCTGCCAACGTACATGGTTTATTCATAAAGGTATCAGTGTAGGTATTATAGGCAGATAATCCACGCGCACCTTTCTTTCCAGAAACACAATTTTTCATGTTCAGATCACTGATCTCTGGGTAATAGAGGCGCACACTCTGCACGTCGGGTCGCGCCCAAAGGTAAACTGTCTCCTCGTCAATTGAGAATGCTACTACCTGTTCATTTGCCATCCGTTTCATCAGCCACAGCATCTTCAAGTGACAGCTCTATTCGCTGCCATTCATATGCATCGGGTTCGTTGATGAACGAGTTCGAACAAGATCTGGTTCGTTTGATTCAGCCTTTGTCATGCATGCAGGTCATGCGATCGTGCGGTTGCGAAACAACTCGTGTACCTAGCTTCGTCATCGACCACAAGAATGCCGCATCGGAATATGATTACAAAAGTGTGAAGTGTATCACAAGTACCACAATCAAGAACTATAAGTGCGGGACCAAACTAGTCCACGGCACCACTTTGTATGCGTCAGGAGGAAGATTGCGTAAAGTGAAGAACATGAGTACCAAGAGGACGGCACGAGTTGTGATGTACAATATGACAGATGCCAAAATAATCAACATATATGCGACCCTAACGACCATCGGTGCATGTAACATGGGATTCCAGAGAGAAGAAAGCCAGGGTGTGAAAGTTATAGCGACGGCACTCATGCGCCATAGCACCTGTTCCTGGTATGTGGGGAAGGAAAAAAAACCAAGCCATACAATGGATGCCGCCACATATGGTTGCCATAAACAATGCAGCAAGCAGAAGAACCCACATGTCCAAATCTTCGAGCTCAACGCTGCCATCAAATGTCGGAACTCGGAGCTTGTAAGATTTGGGAACGTCATCTGCGCCCAACAGTTCTCCAATTGTGATGAGGCCTGGAACCATGTATTCGTATCCTTCGACACTAAGGTAGACATAATCAGCAGCGGTATAATTGTAGAGGCGAATAGTACATACTTAGTAATGTGATCCTCTGGCCTTAACTCGGTCGACTTCCCAGTACACTGGATATGGGCATTGCACATCGAGAGGCTTGTTCCACCACACAGCATAAGTGAGGAAATTGAGGACCGCAAAAGCAAGCGTCCCTGTTTCGAGCTGGGTGGTTTCAAGGTGATAGATGGCACGTGTGATGAGCTGCATAACAAACCAAGCCACTTGAAAACATGATCAATCCTTTCGATATTGCATTGCCTTTGCTCCTGTCATAGATCTGCTTTTTCCGTTAGGGTAGGGACGTCGATACACTTGGCACGTATCAGGTTGAGGACCTCGTAAGGCTGTAGTGTGTGGTAGGGTTTCCCGTCCACATAAAGCATAAAACCACCCATCAGCACAAGAAGCTGTGCGTCTGAGTCCACGTGTAATCTAAGGATGCACATGAGTCAACGTTTAGATGAACACGAATCAGGCTTACCTTCAGATTGCTCTGAAACATAGGCCTTGAACAACTTTTTGAATGGCTTCGCAAGAGCACGAGTCTCTGGGGTGGGCGCTGGAGTAATATGAACCGCTGAAGGAACACCAGTATAGATGACGGTTCACCTTCGGGATTGCGCTAAGAGAAGCCGGATGCTATCATGATCTTGAGAAGCAGGCATGGAAGTCCATGAGGAGACGGATTCGGGGGTGCAAAATAGAATGTCGAGCTCACGTTCAACATATTGCCTCTGCAGTTGCTGCGATGGACCTATGATCTAAGGACGTGCATAGTGAGTTGTCGACGAAAATATTTAGTATCAGAAAGAATGATTCACTTTCAGACTGCTCCTGCGGCTTAGAAACCTCGAAATATCCCGATTCCGTGAACTGTCTTGTAACACGGTGAGCGCTGAACCATTGACGCATAGCCCATGTGACGATAAGTTCAGGAGCGATGAGCGCCATTATCATGACCCCAAGTCGGCGCCACAGCATAAGAAGGGGGCTGTCCTTGGGACTCGGAATATTAGGGTGGATGGCACTGTATATGCATGCGAATAGAGTGAGAACGGAGCTGGAGATGATGGACCATATGGTTATGGTTCTTGTCGTGAATGTACAATGAGGCGGCCTGGTTTGCCTGATGTTTGCAGCATGGCAACTTGGAAGTAAAGTTGCTAGCGCCCAACACCGCAATAAATCGAGTATAACCAGTTCAAGGCTTGTGACCATCTATGGCCAACCCTTGCCCCCGTCAATTTCTTGGCAAGGTCGTACTGAGTGTCTTGGAGTAATGCTGAGATCGTACAAAAGCGCTCGAGGGATTCCCACAGCCGCAACCCTGTTTTTTCGAACACTGACCATAAACGCTTCATCGACTCCGAACATCATGCTTCACTTTCATTACTATTGGTGGCTGCACAGGTTCACGATGATCCTGGAGTGGAAAAAGGTCCTGATCCTCAATCATACGCTGCACGTCTGAAATACAGTTTTGGGACCTCCAGACCTGTGGTATCCATCACCAAAACACACCAGCGGATCTCTACAAAGAAGATCTCAGATTTTTAGGTCCTTCCTTTCGATCAGGGCAGAACTAATCCCATGTCACATATCGCGATGCATCCTTTCAACTTGTAGGGTATTAATAGCCCCAACAATTTGCAGTTATGTTATCACGATGTGGAATACATCCTTTCTCGAACTACTTCTCGCCCATTTCGCTCAGACTGATATCCCCTCGACCGCGGCCGAATCAATCCAGTTTCACAGGTACATCTGCATGTGCAGGTCGTGTAGGGCGTACTGTCTTGCGTATCGATCGTACGTTTAGTTTCATTCTCATTCTTGTTGCCTGTTCAGCTGTTATCCGTACAGGTGATTTTCGCTCTAGCAGATTAATGCGACGAAGAAATACTCAAGTTGGGTTTGCATGGTCAAGCTCACCACTCCATGACACAGCACGAGACACTCGGCTAGATTTCGTCGACACGTCGTATAGTTGGACAGGTCTCTCAGCAGACTTGAGTGTGCCAAGTTTGCTATCTGAGATAATTCGCAGACAAAGGAACCTCCAACAAGCTGTTGGGTTCAGGGCAAGCTGCACGTTCTTGTAACTCCGTGTTGTCAGTGGCTGGTCGGCACGATAGACGCTAGTCCTGCCTTGCCACCTTCATCGATAATACAGATCACACTAGTCATAAGTTGGCACACATGCACGATAAAATTAAGAATATAGCGTGTTCGGAGCATAAGGAGGACAACCACCGTAGCGTATTCCTATCTGTCGGTGCGTGCGCAGTGGAACTCGAGCGGAAAGGCCATAGCACACGTGTGCATGTGCAGCATCGAGATACTTGCGTCATGTGCTTGGTTGAGGAATCAGCTCCTGGCTGATGTCTGAGTCTGCACCGCTTCGGCGTATACTATGTGTCATCTTCAAGGCTCCGTCAGCTAAAGTATAGTGGGTTTGAGGCAATGCTAAAATCCAGCGAACCGAGAATGTCATTGATCCTCTTCAGATAAACCTGTCGGCAAGGCACCTCCTGGGGCTTGGTGTGTCAGCTTGCAGTGGAAGGGGGGAATCGGAAGTCTTATCGATGATCCAGAACTCCACGCCAGGGGACGCAGATAATCCGAATAACCTGCACGCCCTAGCAGATAAATGTCGTATTGGCAGGTCATGAACCTAAGGATTTCGTGGGCGATACAGGACTCCAGGTTGTGGTGGCTATCCGGAAGACGCGTCACTGGGAGATGGGTCACCGGTAAGCTTATGGCATTGCGCAAGGAAAGAGAAGCAAAGATAGGCGGACTATGCGCAAGGAAGAGGCTAAAAAGATACGACGAGCTCCCCGTGTGCCCACGTATATGTACCCTGTATCAGCTCATAAAATTCAATTCAATTCAAAACGCCAACTGTACACTCCCATCATCTGCATATCTGACTCCCCACCTCAAAAAAATAAGCTATGCACTCACCATCTTCTCCTTCTCACTCACTCGCGTCCTCCAGAAATCAACCTTCACTCAACTTACAGCCGTCAATGGTGAGGCATGCTTCGCCAAAGACGACGAGGATTGAAAGCTTGCCAGCGTAAATGGTTAATTTCTAAAGATGTCGGTGTGTGTGGGTATTATAGGCAAATAAGTCACGCACCTTTCTTTTCGGAAACATTTGCAATGTCCGCGTGCAGAGTATTGATCTCTGGGTAATAGTGCATGCCGGGTCGCGTCCAAAGGTAACTGTCTCCTCATCGATCAAGGATGCTGCTACCTGCTCATCGGTCATCCGTTTCATCAGCCGCAGCGTACCAAATAACCCTATTTCGCTGTTGTCCATGGTGATGAGCAAGTTCAAGTAAGACTTGGACAGAGTTTGTTCGGTTCGCGTCATGCTACACGTGCAGGTCATGTGATCGCGACATAGCTCTATCATCGGCCATGGTCCACAAGAATGCTGCATCTGAATATCATTACAGAAGTATATGAAGTATATCACAAGTACCAGATCAATAACTATAAGTGCGGCACAAAACTAGTCCAAGACACCGCCTTGTATGCGTCAGGAGGAAGATCGCGCAAAGTGGTGAACATAAATACTAAGAGGACGGCACGAGCTGTGATGTACAACATGACGAATGCGAGACAAATCAGATCATATGCAAACCCCAGGATGTACTGTACCGAACCGGGTAAGAAGTAAACACGAAAACAAACCACAGGTGTGAAAGTTATAGCGACGGCACTGATGCGCCATAGCACCTGTTCCTGGTATGTGGGAAAGGCAAAAAACCAAGCCATACAATGGATGCCGCCAAATATGGTTGCCATAAGCAGTGCAGCAAGCCGAAGAACCGTCTTGCTCGAACCTTGGAGTTTGATGCTGCCATCAAATGTTGGAACTCGGAGCTTTCGAGATGTGGGAATATGAGGCAAGCCTATCAGTTCTGCAATTGGGGGCCGAATACTTGAGCCAAAATCCCAAACCGAGTGAAGCGGAGGACTGGATCCAAGATCCTAAACCAAGCGAATATACTGACACTAAGGCAGACATAATCAGCAGCGGTATAATTGTTGAGGCACGTACATACTCTTCATCAATGTGATCCTCTGGCCTTGACTCGGTTGACTTCCAGTACACTGGATGTGGACATTGCACATTGAGAGGTTTATTCCACCACACAGCATAAGTGAGGAAATTGAGAACTGCAAAAGCGAGTGTCCCCACTTCGAGCTGGGTGGTTTCGAGGCGATAGATAGCGCGGGTGATGAGCTGCATAATAAACCAGGCCACTTGAAGCATGATCAATCCTTTCGATATCGCATTGCCTTTGCTCTTGTCGTGGATCTGCTTTTCCGTTAGGGTAGGGGCGTCGATACACTCTTTACGTATCAGTTCGAGAATATAACCAGGACGTAGTGTAAGGTAGGGTTCCCCGTCCACGTAAAGCATGAAACCACCCATCAGCACAAAGAAGCTGTGCGTCTGAGTCCACGTATAATCTAAGGATGTACATGAGCCAACGTTCAGGTGAGCACGAATCGGGCTTACCTTCAGATTTCTCTGAGAAATAAGCCTTAATCGACCTTTTGACCCACCTCCCAAGATCACCAGGGAAACACCGAAGAAACACCGGCACAGAGGATACACCTTTAGCAAACACTACAAAAGGAGGCAAAAGAAGTGAAGGAAGCGATTTCCACGTTGCTCAGGTGCTTTAAAAGGGATACTTTTCTAAGGACATGAGTTGTGAGATGCAGTGTTTCCAAAAGCAGTGACAAACTCACCTTCACTGGCAGACTCTGGACGAACGCTGGGATACCCTGAGTCCTTGAACTGTCTTGTAACATGCCGAGCACTGAGCCATTGACGCATAGCCCATGTGACGAATCAGTTCAGGAGCAATTAGTGCCATTATCATGACCCCAAGTTGCCGTCGTATGATACCATGAGGACTGTCCTTGGGACTCGGAATATTGGCGTGAATGGCACTGTATATACAACGCAATAAGTGAGAACGGAGCTGGAGACGATCGTCCATATGGTTCTGGTCGTGAATGATGGGGCTTTGAAATTGGTCGCTAGTAGTAGTATTTGTTGTATTTGTTGTAGGTGAAGCTTGGATTACTCCAAAGAGGTAAAGGAAGACGCAAAGAAGTACTAGTAGTAAGCGCATTATCGGATGTCACCTTTGGGATGTATCGTATGCATCCTGTTCGCTATTTGTATGTTACTGGCGGGCGTCATCTCAAGGCAGTACAATGTACAATGAGGCGGCCTGGCTTGCCTGATGTTTTGTAGCATGGCAAGCGATGGGAACTTGGAAGTAATAATCGATCAAGTTACTAGCGCCCAACACTGCAATAAATCGAGTATAACCAGTTCAAGGCTTGTGACCATCATGATCTATGGCCAACCCTTGCCCCCGTCAATTTCTTGGCAAGGTCGTAGTACTGAGTGTCGTGGAGTATATTAATGCTGAGATCGTACAAAAGCGCTCGAGGGATTCCCACAGCCGCAACCCTGTTTTTTCGAACACTGACCATAAACGCTTCATCGGCTCAGGGGTTCAAACTCGCGCTTCACTTTCTTTACTATTTCTGGAATTCTGGTGGCCGCGCAGGTTCACGATGATCCTGGAGTGGAAAGGACCTCCAGACCTGTGGCATCCATCGCCAAACACATGTAGCGGATTCTCAATATCACAGACAGTATCTAGGAGACACGTATCTCAAACCCTCAGGATGTTTGACTCTCTTATAGGGAAGATCTCAGATTTTTAGGCCCTTCCTTTCGATCAGGGCGGAACATCCCATGTCACATATCACGATGCATCCTTTCAACTTGCAGTTAAGGGCATGGCCTATTCACTGCGGAAACGAGATTTTAGGCAGACCCTAATCAGAGGGAGACAGGCGCGTGTAACACGACTCTAAACGTACCTAGCTTGTAATCAGACGTAAATCCGAGATGTCGCAAATTTTGCTCGCTCGCTCCGGAGCAACACATGTAAACAGACACTTTTCCAACTTCGTCAACACGTCTATTCGGACCCCGTTTATTCTCTTCAAATACCTGCAATTCCACCACTAATCAACACCGCATATTCAATATTTCGACGTCTGTTTAGGTCGCGCTTGAAGCAAAGTAAGTTTGTCAAAATTTGTCTAAGTCCTGCGTTACAACCTGCTCTACTAGTACGGGAGTTTTGCTCACGTGACTGCATACAGTCCGACATGTCTAGATATCGATATCGTTATGTCCTCTTAGACCATACTACTCAAACACATCCGAACCCTGTATCGATCGACCAACATGGCTCCCCCTGTACGCTGCTACTGCAAAGTTACAAAGTGCAACGGCATTCTTGTTCCACCTCATGTTTTCGCTCGCATGAGCGCTCTGACTTACGCCAACGAACTCTTGCTGATCAGGCTAACTTTGCCCGGCGTGTCGGGCAACACATCATCTCACAGGGTGATGCAGATATTGAGCCAGTTCCTCGAGGATTTTCAGTTCTGTTACATGAACCTCCCCCTCCCTTGTCTCCGGAGTTTCATGACCCTTTGGAGGATGTTATATTGGATTACGGGGCACTTACAGATGTAGATTTTGGTATTGTGACATCCAGCGGCCCTCTACCCAACCTTGGTCCTAACATGCGCAGTCCCGAGGCTCTTATTGCCGCTGTTGACCACTTTGACGCGTATAACAATGCGACAGCTAGTGTTGCCGCGGCTCGGGCTTCAAGCCTGGCTGCAGCCGAAATTAAGGTGTGGCTGGTCAAGCCATCACAAATGAAAATCTTACGTAATCGAGGGCTTGGCTTGGCCAAATTAGCCATGGCTTGCAGCTCAAGCCAGCTGGCAGCCATTATATTTAGATATTGTATAAAAATAACCAATAAATTATTTTAAACACCTGTTCAGTGTCAATTGATGCCGTGTTATCGATCACACAGCAAAGCGTTAGTTTCGTATACTCGTTGTCATACAAGCTCACTTACTTCCAATGGGTCCGCAGAATGATGTGAGCGATTTGATGCCGAGGTTTGATTATGCACTGAGTCTGGATCAGCACAATTGCAGCATCGATCATGCGCGAAAGCTCACTGCAGCAGCAAAGCTGAAGAAGTTGCAGTGCACCCCACAGGCACAGGCGCAGAGGGGAGCGGAGATGGTGTATGTGTTGGATCGGCCATCAAAGTGGCGAAGTAGATTGGCGAGGATGGTGGGATTCAGGCCTGAGGTGAGAAGGTGAAGGAGAACGCGGTAGTGGGATAGCGGGATAGAGAATATCATCGATATCCGAAAGGGAGGTCTGTGTACGAACGTCGGGGGTTACTATGTCGAACAGGAGTTTTTGTTGATCAGAATCTACCACGGCACTTTGCTCAGAGAACGAATGGTACACTAAGAATAAGGCACCGACCTTGAGATGACCTAACAACTTTCGGCACTCGTCTTGGGTGACCAGCATACGGCCTGGACACTGACCCATACGAATAAGTGTGTGCAGAGCCATTACCATCGAGGCGAGCGAGCTGGGCTCACTGTGGAGTGGGATGGCTAACACCGAAGGTATGTGAATGATAAGGTTGTGTTGATGGGCTGGGCTGCGAGAATGTGGTCACGATGGGAGGCGTAGGCGGGCGACCTGGACGAGTGATCAAGGGCAGACACTCGCTGTAACATTAAATTAGATATAGGACCTTGCAGAGAACACCGCACCTACTCATCAACAATGGGCGACGAAAGATCAGCAGGCTGTTGAGGGGGATAGAGATGGTAGCTTGGACCACGTGTGCCTGGATCTGCGAATGGGAAGGCATTCTGAAGTGTTCATCAGGCCATTGTCAAGGAGAACAAGTAGGAAAGACGCACATGAGGCTCGCCTTGCTTTGATTGAATTCACTGCTCGGATTACTCCAGGTGTATGTGGTACCAACAATCTCCCTCTCGTGGGGCTGGAAGGTTGAGCTTGGCTTCCGGCTCAGTTGTCGTTGAGCCATCACCTGCGCAGAGGAGACGGATGCACCCCGAGGACGAAGGTCCTGCCATTCTGACCAATGAGCTGGGTATGGTACTGGTTGGGTATTTTCAAAACTTCAGAAGTCTCATCGGCCTAGTGGATTGTCAGAAATGGGCACGTCGAATCACGCCATGACTTACGATCCTCTCAACCTGTGATAAGATTCGTTGTTTTGGCTTCTTCTACATTCTCCTTGCGACCTGTAATCTGTTTGCAGATACAGTGAGAAATGGGGGGAGGAAAGATAAGTAAAATGAGTAACTACCTTGACCTTGGATTTCTGATGGACGGCCTTCTTCTTCTTCTTGCCTGCTTCCTTTTCCTTCTCATCAGCTTCGTCTGAGAAATCAACCTTAACACCGAGAGCATCGCGAAGTTTGTTAACGCCTGAACCCTGTGTGGGTCCCGTAAAACTCGACGTCAAAGAATGAGCGTATGAGGAAGTCGAAGACGTGGAGACATAGTCTCCTGATGATTTAGGTGTAGGTGGAGGGCGGCCACCAGTTGAGGATGGACGAGTGAGAACTGCAAATCGTACAGGATCATCCTTCCTGTGATTGAATAGTTGACGACTTGCTGGAGGGTCCCTCTGATGGGAAGTGGGGGTGTTACGGGGCGGAGATGAACTGCTTGTTGCATCGGAAATTGATTCAGGCTCAGTTGTGCGTCTCATGGGGATGGGATCTGTGTTGGGATTGAATAATTTGCCCTGCTGGGTCTGCTTTATGTGATGGTGGTGACGAGGGGGGGTAGATATCTTGAGGTGCCGTGATAAATCTTCCGGGTCTGCCTCTGGACGGGACACAATGACATGAGGTGCAAGAAGAGTCTTATGTGGAGATGTTGCTGCGCGAGAGTGGCGGGAAGGAACTGGTGGCGTCTTAGGATTTGAAAGTTGCAGACGAGATGAAGGCGTTCGCAGGGACGACTTGAACTAGATAAACAAAATAAAATTTTGTCAATGTGTTACATATGAAAAAGAAATAGAACATACACGGCATTTCTTCACTGGAAGGCAACCATGCGCTCTGCAAAATTGGTTGGCTGAGCGGGATCACAGTCCCTTGGCCTCCTTGAGGGCTTTGGCTCATCCATGACCTGTAGGCTGTAGCAGCTCAAGAGGCTTCAGGTACATTCTCTAAGACCGGGTTCAATGAAGTAAGTGGAGAAAGCATCTGCGACTGGCTATGCTCGGACATGGAACGTGACATCAAGTCGTGATGTCCGCTGCTCATCGACTGCCTTCAGCATTGCGTACAAACCATTATGCAACCCTGAAAACCCTTAATGATAATATATTCTTCAAAATACAAAAAGGAGGGTCACGCACTGAAGTCTGGAATACCGCATGAGATGCCTAAGCACAGATTCAGTGATACAGCTTTAATCGAGGGGGGAAAGACAGATCAATGCCGGCACCAGTGAGCACAACTACAAGGTTGTATTAGGGAAACCACGTCGGCAACGGTGTCATACTGAGGCAGTTTTTCCCTGAGATGAAGCCTTGTGTGTGACTCCTCCTGAGAGGTGCCGGATGTTGGTTGCCCAGTTAGAAAGACACGTTTGAGAATCACGAGGAAAACGAGTCAACGATTAAAGCTAGTCTAAGAAAAACAGAACGAGGAGCAAGACACTATGACAAGTATGGGTAGTAGAACGAGAAGCAAACATGAGCAAGAATGGAGTGAAAAAGCAAGCGTCAATGATCATACAACAACAGGGACATCTGGAACATCATCACATTCTTGCTCTGCGATGATTCTGAGAAGTGCCTCATATTCTGGAGTCTCGGGAGTGAATCCACCGATGGCAGAGGTCAAAAGATCACTGGAGCCAGATGACGAAGAATCACCAGAGCTTAGGGTGCACATCAAGTCATACTCCATGTCCTTCTGCGAGGCTTGCCAACCTTCAGTGAAGTTAAGTCGCTCTTTCTTCAGCGAAAACTTGACCATTTGTAAGGCCTCCATCAGAGGCGGGCTGATGCGATTTCTTCTCTTTGTGTATGTCTCACCGCTGGATGAAAAAATGCGTTCGCAGGGAACAGCAGACGCCTGTATGGGGAGATAGCCCATTGCGATTGAATAGATGGTCGGAAATATAGGCTGTGCAGTCTAGTCGACACATCATGATCAGCGAAATGTAATAGAGACATAGGACTCTTACCGTCCAAAACGCAAGTAAATTTGTTCCCCGTGGGCTGCGGACAGCCGTGCTGTAAGAGCTAAATTCCTGTTCTACCGTTTGGGTGCCACCCTCGTTGTGCAGCAGTAGATCTATGTCAGAAAGTCTATAGATTGTCGAGCCTAGTGTTGCAGTGCGTGTCTGGTGATCTGACCGTTCCAAGGGTAGAGAGAGTGCGGAGTCAGAGGTATCTCTCACTCTTTTCTTCCACATCTACAGCATATTAGATCAAAGTTGCACTTTTATGAAGGTAAATAAGTGCACCAGTTCAAGAATATAATCCCTGGCCTTGTTGACTTGGACCATGTCCCAGTTATCATTCATCCATGACAATGAATCGCAGGATCAATGACTGTATAAACACATGAGAATCAGCCTTGATTAAAAGAAACGCATGGGACTGACACATGGCGACTCCATATGCTCCCGTGTGGCTCATCCGCTCATGGTATTTATCAGTCCAAGTTAAACCGATGGCAACAAAAGGTGCCAAGTGCGCAAAGCGCTGCGCCAAGTCCTTCCACTTTTTGACCAGTCTTTCGAAAGCTGGAATGGCACAACTTAGCACAGGAGTGCTCTCACTGGACATGCTTTGCTGGACGGCATACGGTGCCTAATATAAAATGGTAAGTACGTCTCAATTTCGGACAATTTAAGGCTGACCTCTAGGACCACCTCAAGATCTTGCAAAATTTGCCATTCTACTGGCTCTAACTTCAGATGGGCTATAGCCCTTTGATCGTCAGCATCAAGGAAGTTGTCAACAGCCTGGGCTGCTGTTAAGCTAATGCCAAGGATTACGAAATGAGGCCTTACCTGATGAAGTATTCTTAAGCGATTAACCATGACGAAGGACGAGCCCCAACGTGTGGGCTCATCGCACAGCAGTTCAAGAATCGGGAGCATTATCTCCTCAAAATTGTCGTTTCGGAAAATCTTCGCATCATTGCCCGCGTGAATGATGTCTCTGAAGTTATCGCATTGTTTGTTTGACGCGCGAGCCGCATGCACAATGGACCTGGCCCGACAGAGAACGTCACCTTGCAGAGCCGTGATATACACTGCCTTGTCGAAAGAGCTGTTGCCAACTACAAAAGGACCTGGAACACCTGAAAGGTCAACAGTAGAATGCTCGTCCATGATGTGCTGCACACATATATTGATTATGTGTGGAAAGCATGGGACCCTGCGATCAACAGCATCGAATTTGATCCCTTGGCGCAGCAATTGGTGAGAAAGTTCTTCCATTGCAGTCTGGTTATTGGAAGCATTGTCAAGCGTCATGTGTCCCATCTAAACTGAGTCAGAGCATGTCAAACACCGCAAATAAACACTGACATTATGTGTCACACCAGCACGCTTGATCAGATTGAAGATTGTTGACCCAAGTGCCTTCCCCGTATGACTACCCGGCATGTAATGAAAAGCGATCAGAGTGCCCTTCAAAACGAGTGACGAATTGGCAGTTTCCCTTGCAAGCCAATGGGCAGTGAGTGCGAGGAAGGGGCGGAGCTTAGGATCTGACCAGAGGTCAGATGTGAACGAGATTTTTCCTTCGGTTTTCTATAAGGACATAAGACACTGTGTGTTATCAGTAGCTAAACACTTACTGCAAGGTCACATTTCAAGATTGGGAAGTAGTCACGCCATGCATCTATGATCAGCGAGCGAAATTTCGTGCGGCGAGGGATATCTGACTCCTTTAGATCTTGACGCATGAGACGGAGCAGTCGGCGAAACTCTGGACACTCGACAACGTTTATTGGCTGGAGATGACCATCAATAATGTTCCATGGAGAATAGATACTACTCACCTGGTCGTCGGCTATGATGAATCTAATGATATGTCGGTGCATCTCATCGACTGAAAAGTCCGGCAAAACAGCTTCTGACTGTGCAGGCAGCGAATTGTTGCATACGGGATTGGGGGGAACACCAAGTGTCTCAATTGTGCAATCTGGGTCCTGGCTGAGCCTTTCACGCATCTGCAAGATGGTCCAGCCCTCGTCGAGTCGGGATTGCACCTCATTGATCAAGATTGGCCAGGCCACTGGGCCCCGGTGCTCACATTCTGCTAGGTAGAGGTCCATGTGATAGACGTGCACGTGGGTGCAAAGAGTGCCTGTGGTTGAACTAGCAGCGTACATCTGAATTTTCCATGAAGGGTCTTTCTTATGTATATCCCTGTTGGAGGAGTGAGATTGACAAAACACTCCCAGACATGACACTTACTCGCAGGGGATACAGGTACGTTTAAGTGATGCCTCTGTCCTATAGAAGTGGGGGATGTCGACAACTGCCCCTCCCTTTCGTTTTCTTTTCCCGTCATGGGTGGCCAAAGGATTGGATGGAGTCGTAGCAAAGGGATTCACTAAGGTCGTGGCACAGGGATTAGTTGGGGCGGTGGCCAAGGGATTGATTGGGGCGGTGGCCAAGGGACTGATTGGAGTAGAATCGAGGGCACCGTCACCTGTCTGAAGTGGGCTAAGGGCTGGATTAGGTGCAACTATAATGGGAGCACCATCCTCCTCATCATCGGCACTGATTTCGTTGATGTTGAAAAATTCAGCATCGCCATCTTCATATCTTCGAGGATGCTGACGCTCTTGTTGAGGGCATCGGAGGGCAGTGGAAATTGCTGCAGTAGTATTGGTGGTTGCTGCAGCAGCAGCGGTAGTGGTGGGATTGGGAGTAGCAGCCGGGGCGTCAGCCTGAGTAGCATTGGCATTTTTTCGATTTCTGCCGCGACGGTTCATATTAGTGATAATAGAGCTATAGATACAACAAGCGAATCACCTGTATATATATATAAAAGCTTTCTGGGGAGACCCAGGGGAAGACCCAGGAAAATCCCAACGTGCGTGGTGGGGAAAAATCAGTTACATCTGGACTTGATGCTCACCAGGATATTTAGGGTTGCAGGGTCTGATCAGTGATCACTATAGCATTAATAGAGATACGCAAACAGGACAATGGAACGCACACTAGTACATAATATCAGCTGTCTTCAAAGCATGAAAATCCCAATGTGCGTGGTGGGGAAAAACCGGTGACACCTGGACTTGATGCTTGCCAGGATATTTAGGGTTGCAGGGTCTGATCAGTAATCACTATAGCATTAATAGGAATACGCAAACAGGACAATAGAACGCACACTGGTACATAATATCAGCTGTCTTCGACAGCATCACAAGTGAAAGGTCCCTAGGCTGTGCTGCATGCCATAGTCTTGAATGTTAGGTAGGGGGTGCATGATGAGTCCGTGAGTAGAAAAGCATAGGCTGAGTTGTTGCTTGGGCTGTGATCATGAGGCTCAAGGCTGATGAAATCCGATAATGATCAAGATTTGACGATTTGGAGCCTGCAGCAAGTTGGCAGCAAGTTGGAAGATAAGAGACACGTGGGAGTTGCTCAGAGAGGAGTCAGCTGGACGTGCATATTACATGTACAAACAATTTTGGTTTGATTTCGGTTGTCTAATAATATCGTGCATGCTCCACCTGAGCTCATCTACAAATCTACAGATAATGCCTAGGAACGAAAGCCACTACGAGTCTTAACCAGTCGCCATACCCAAATCCTGTTGAACCCTCCATGTTGGCAATCTGACGGTATCCATAGTTTCAGAAACAAATCAAAATATATACATCCATCATACTATGCAACAAGTTTCTTTTTCTGATGTGAGGTAGAAGTAGTTGAAGGTGGTAGGGGGCCATTGCGAGGACGTAAACTAGGTTCAAGAATCATGAGTGTAAGAAGATTAAAAAATCATGTACTCACACACGAGTTGATTTATGAACAGGTGTTGGTTTTGGCAGGCACAGCAACACCGCCTCAGCCACCGAGTGAATGTTGGAGGTTGGAGAATGTATAACAGGGTCATTGGGCTGGATGAAATCCAGCAAGCCAATTTCTGTGGTGCGAAGTCCGCGAAGCATTGAGCGAAGATAATCATAGTCGGGATCTTCTGAGAACGAAAGGGACCGCGAGTAGACAAGAATGTTTGCAAATTCAGAAGGAATACCATCACATAAATCTGCAATGGTTGTGTCCACTTTGCGCTTGAGTATGTCAGAGGTGGAGAGCTTCTCATGGTTGCTAGTTAGCCATGGAAGGGAGCCAAGTAAGAAATAGATCAACATATATGCAAACGACTCAAGGTCATCACGGCGGCCTGGCTCCAAGCCCAAGTGGTTGTTGATTGAAGCGAAGGCAGGAGTGCCTGTGAGAGGGTGCCCCCTGCGAAATGGTATGTGTGTTTCGGTTGCAGTGTTCCAGTACATCTTTGTGATACCAAAATCGACGACAAAGAGAGTTTGCGTTGAATCGCCAAGACCCACTTAAATGTTCTGTGGCTTGATATCGCCGTGAATGTAGCCATATGAGTGAATGTACTCAAGGCATGAAAGCTGGGAAATATGTTAGCATCTGCAACGACCCACTCAAAGTGACGTACCAGCTGGTCTCCTATATTCACGACAGTGTGAAGGCTGAATTGTCGGTTGCGTGTCTTGAAGATATCATGCAATGATGGGCCAAGGAGTTCAAGAGCCAAAGCGTGATATGTCGATTCCCTACCGAACCAAATGACATGGGGGATCCCAACTCCATTTCCAAGTCGTTTCAGAATTTTGTATTCGCGCTCCACAGAAGATGGGCGAGAGGTGAGGGGCTCAAGTTTGATGGCAACTACATCATCATTGAGGAAGTTCTGTGCGTGGTATACAACAGCTAGTAAGTGAGGCTTAGCGAGTCTATGCATTGGATATCAACATCATGTTACAACGTACCATATGACCCAGATCCCAGAATCTTTCCCAGCCTAAATCTTCCGTCAACTCGAGCTGGGACTTTACTCATGCTGTGAAGCCTGCGATAGGTAAGGACAAATACAATATATTCAACAACAGATGGTTGAATGATAGGGTATGCGTGTGCACTGCGTAGGAAGTGAATACAAACACCATCAGCAATGAGATTATTAGTAATGAAAACAAACCTTAGCTTGAGCCAGCGTGTGTGGCTAGCCAGCTGAACAGAGCTGGATATAGGTAGCTTAACTCACCAGGAGAGCCGAACTGCTGACAAACTGACAAAAGCCGAGCTCGAACCGGTCCGAGTCGAGCTGCGGCAACACTAGCGACAGCTGGAGAAGACCACACGGATCTTTCGCACCTCCCTCACCATCTGCTAGTAATATACGCACTTGTCTCGTGGCTTCACCTTCAGTTTCACCTTCCACGAGTTGCATGCAATGCACTCCTTGCGATACTGGCTTGCATTTTACTCTCGATTGCACCCGCCATCGACACTCCTTTTATAACACTTCAATCCAGCAATCGGGTACTTGGTGTGGACAAGACTATCTACACTCTTCCTGTTTGCCCTTCTTGCCACGAAGTTTTCCCTCCTGCTGGTTCAGTGCATACCATGGATACCTTCCGATCTGCCTCGATGATCTTTTCCTGTCAAAACACACTCTGCGGGGTAACCAACGAGCAGTCAAGTCCCCGGTGATAAAATATCCTTATCTCCCACTCTCCGAACAGCTGAAATCTCTCTTGAAGATACCTGGCTTAGAAGCATTACTGGATGGCTCGCCTTGAAGTGTTTGCACTTGTGCTGTAAGTGCATTGTTTGAGGTCGTAATATTACTACAAAACTGTTGTATGCTTTCAGACAGATGCAGCAATTCGCTGGCACTGGCAGTTCTACCCTGTGGACCCGAGTACTCCATGTCTCCAGTTTGGTCCTGGAAAAGCAAGCTGCCACGTTGGTATGGGTATGTTCCCGCACCGTGTGATTGATGAGGTCGTGCAAACTGATCATAGTCAGGGTCGTGGCCTCCACCTGGTGCCAAGGACTGCGAGCGAGAACACAGCTCACTGCCTGATGAGAAAGGAGTGTGCAAGTTTCCATGACCAAGGTATGGTGTACCGGCCGGCTGGGGGTTCATATAATTATTGACACCATGCATAGACAGGGAAGGTGTACGCTGCTCGTTGTGCCTGGGGATGAATGGGGTTTCTGGTAGGTTGTTATTGCCCAACGGTCTTCCCATATTCTCATTTACACCGTCTTCCCCTGGCTAATAATATGTGAGTTTTCTGTGTTCGCATTGAATTGATTCTGACAAGTTTACCATTGCAGGATTGGGCAGCCGTGGTCCACTGAAGTACTCATCGTGCTGCGGCAAGTCGTCGTTGAGCAAGTTGAGTGGGACGGCCCAGGATGAGGCTGGCCAAATTGGTGTGGACCACTCATTTGAGACTGGCGGTCTTGACTAATGCCGTGTTGGTTAGGATACATGGGGGCACCGCTAGGGCGTCTCTGTGGGCCTTGGGATCCATGCATCGTGGATGTGGGGTGTGGAGAACGAAGGGAAGAGCAAGCGAGAAGCTATGGGCAAGCGCATGGCAAATCCTAGGAAGCATATGGAGCATATGGACCTCTTGTACTATATCCTTTGCAGAGTCTAATCAGAACTATTTTGTATATGTATGCAGACATAATTCAGATGTGCAAGTCATGTTTTCCGATATGATCCTATTGTCGGATTAGATACACAGATAACTAATTCTACCTCTGCAAAATTTATGTGTCCAGTGTCGGATTAGAGCCAGCACTGTGTACCTCTCGCTAGTCTAGCGCTTCGGGATTTGCGTTGTATGCGATGTCTGTTTATATTCCGCATATATGGTCTGTCCCTACACTAATCCGGCCTGACTATTTTCTCGTTTCCGCAGTGATATTGTTATCATGACATGTGGCACTCTTCCTTTCTCGAATAACTTCTCGCCCATTTCGCTCAGACTGATCCACGACATCCTCTCGATCGTGGTCGAATCGACCCAGTTTCACAGGTACATCTGCATGGTGGTGCAGGGCGTACTGTCTTGCGTATCAATCGTACGTTTAGTTTCATTCTCATTCTCATTCTTGTTACCTGTTCAGCTGCATCAGGAAAACTCTCCCAAGGCAAATTAGCCAAAATTCACATAAAGTCATAACATTCACATAATCACAGGTGTTTATGAATAAAGTCACTAAGGATGATAATTTAGATGTGATTATTTTAATGCAAACGAATGATTAGCAAGAGTTATCGAGAATTATCTGAACATTGAAAAAGTTGGTCTATCTATGTATGAGTTCAACCAGAAGGTGTCACAGGCTCACAGCCCTCAAGCACTGTATCACTCGTCCACTCTCGCGGGGCCATAACACTAAACCTTGGTATAAGGTGGACACTGCGCTCAATTTCCGGCTTGAATTCAACAAAACCATTCAACATATATAAGGTGAGTAGGAACTTGAACACGGACCATTGGGGGAAGAGCAGTGGCATTGATTTCGGTGGTAAGGCGAAGATGACTCGGATTCGGACTTAACCCGACGGTGCAGATATTAATTCTTGGATAAGGGCGAGGATACTGTGTATGTAGGATCAAGTGAGTGAGATGTACTGCGGAAAAGAACAACGCTTCGGTTCCTTCCGGCGCCTTCCACACTGAAATTTTTGAAAATCGAACCACCTAAATTAATAATTATAGAGCTCCCACGCTTGAATTCAACAGTCCATTTTTCACCCAACTTGCGCCACGCCGCATCTGGATTCTACACTCATCTAACTTCCAAGTCTTGAAGCTTCATCAGTGCATGCACCGTCCACTGCACCAAACTCCACTCGTCCTTCTCTGGTGATTGAAGGTACATTTTTGGCGCCTACGCCCTCTTATGGCTACCATCGTCTTTCTCCACCAAAGCCTGCCTTCCCTCTGCAGCACATGGCCTCTCTTGTCTCCGCGCCACGCAGTGCTCACGCCACGCTCCAGCAAGTTTAAACCTTCTTCCTGCTTTTCTTTTCTTTTCTTTGCCTTTCTTTTTCTCTTCGAAACTTTCGTGACCCTAGGTGACTCAAGACACTTCGACTACGCCTACCGTTACACTATTTTCGGCAGTCTTCCAAACCCCACCATGAGGGACGCCAACATTTTTGCATTTTGGAAGGCCATGCCTCGAATGGTAAGTTCCATAGCTATTATCTTCAGCTAAAACCTAAACAGACAATATTTTTAACAGAGCTGGTCTCCGCGTAACCTCTACAACCTCTGGAGGCGGTCCTGTGGTGCTGAGGCCGAGGCCATTGACTTCACTCGCTCGCCTAAGACGCTGTTTCAGCAGCGTTGGATCTCGAAAGCACTCGTACGTGCGTACCACGGTTGCCTAGGTGGAGCGACGCATTGACGTGTTCATTTTTCGGTGCTGCTTCGCCTCATAGTGTCTATGAGGCACGGAGACTCGTCGTTCATGGATCTGTCCTGCTAAATGGCAAAAAGGTGCGCCTGGTATTAGCTTCGATATACTAATGCGCATCTACAGCATATGAATGCCGACGCACGTCTAGCCCCAGGCGATGTGGTCTCCGTTGACCCTGCAGCTATTCGTTTCCTCCAGGACCCTGAGTCTACGCTGTCCTCGTTGACACCTTTCAACCTTCCTCCATATGCGTCTCTCTTCGTTTTCATTCCTGCCTATGCAGAGGTCTCCTTCTCCACATGCAGTGCCATATACGTTCGCCACCCAACGGCACGCCCAGGATACAGTGAAATTCCAACACCTTCGACGCCGACGGTGAAGTCATTCGGCTTGCATGGGAATGGTACGCAAAGATGCGTCCAAGGACGAGGAGTAAGAAACAAATGGCGAGGGAACCAAAGAACAGATCAAAAACGCAGCTCCACCCGCACCGCCCACTTTAGGTAGCAGCACACCTCACTACTTTAAAATCGGCCGCTATCGAGGCTTCCACCCAAAAATTATCATTTCATTTCGTTCTCGCTACCGCTACTAAGACGGATGCACAACAGTTGTTCAATGCTCGAGCACTCATTTTCATAGGTGTTACATGCTCCCCTACTAACCGCTCTCCACATTCAGGTCCTCTGCTTCAGGCTTGTGCTTACTTTGCTTGTAGGAAGTTGATGTATAGCGGCGCTGCTAGTAGCCACGCTAGCGAGCTGGAAGCATTTGCGAAACTAGTTACTGTTGTCATATGTCCGTCGTTGGTCATAGCATACAAATTAGCCTACCCATACACCCATTTTTAATCAAAGACTAGTTTTTTTCCCCCTGTAATGCTGTCTGATTTGGTCGGATCTGATCATCCACCCATCTAAAATCAAACAAATTAACTCTACAATGCATGATAATTTGCTTGAATAACTTCTAATTCTCGTCTTTTTATTAAGGGGTAAAATAAGCGATCTAAACAGCTAAAACTTTGAATTTGTATGATTTAGACATAATGATGGAACATTAGTTCTAAAAACATCTAATTAGCTTAGGAGATTTTTCCTGATGTGTTATTCGCACAGATGACTCTCGCTCTAGCAGATTGATGTGACGAAGAAATACTCAAGTTGGGCTTCTCAAGATGTCATGGTCAAGTTCACCGCTCCACCACACAGCACGAGAAACTTGGCTAGATTTTGTTGATGCGGCATATGGTTGAACAGTTCTTTCGGCAGATTTCAGTGTGTCCATTTTACTGTCTGAGAGAATTCGCAGACCAAGGAACTTCTAACGGGCTGTTGGGTTCAGGGCAAGCTGCACGTGAGTGTAATTCCATATTGTTAGTGGCTGATCGGCACGATAGACGCTAGTCCTGCAGCCTTGCCACCTTTATCGATAATACAGTCATAAGTTAGCACACATGCACGATAAAATTAAGAATATGGCGTGTTTAAGGCATATGGAAGGCAACTTCCGTAGCGTGTTCTCATCTGTCAGTGTGGGCGCAGTGGAACTCGAGCAGAAAGAGTGCCACGTACCTGGTCGACGAATCGGCTCCTTGACGGTGTTTGAGTCTGCACTGCTTCAGCGTATACTGTGTGTATCATCTTCAAGGCTCTGTCAGCCAAAGTCTAGTTTACTAAGGGGCTTCATCTTAAGGCAGTATGCCAATATGCTCGCCAGCCTGACAAGCGGATGTACATATGGGTTCGAATTCGAAGTAATAATCGTGCATAAGTAGCAGTACTAGTGCAAATTCACAATGAATCAAGTGCTTCATATAATTTATTTATCTCAATTCTCGACTCCGATTCTCGATCGGGCTATGACTAGCCATATAGGACTACGATGTGGCTCACGAACCAAACTTCCATCTGTCTCCAACAATATTAATGTAACACACTTTTGAAAACTCCTTGCTATGTCACAGTTGTATGGTTGTCAATGAGCACGTCAATTCTCTGTTCGAACTTCGGCGCCTTTGGTTCGCAGGGGTCTTCACTGGCAGTAATAGCGCCCCCTCTGTCTTTCATTGCTAACTGGCGGCCGTGTTTAGTTGTGGTGCTTGCCTTGTAACCCTATATACAACTCCATCGGTAATGAAGTACATGCGGCACTAGCATGTGTCAACCCCCACCGTTCCCAGCTTACACTACTGCGGCATACGCAAGAGATTCCAAAGGCCCTTGGTAATGATGCACGTCAGTACATGCCTTCGACTTGAAAACCAATGTTTCATTATTCAAATCGCAGGCTTTTATCTACTACTATAATTCCACCTGGTGAGCTTTTAATATGCATAGAACACAACCAGACTTCATGCGGCCGGATGAATGTTGCGACAATATCCTTAGCCTAGTAGAGTTGAATATTCTGGTAGTTTCTCACTCGCACGATCGCAAGTTGCATCCTACTCGTATCATAACTTACATGTAACTCAGTGCCACTCACTTGTCGACTTCCTTAGATCAAATCTATATTCGAAACTGGGACTTTGAGACTGGCGCATTTGTTGCACACCTGCGACGAGATTTACAAGTGAAATCTCTCACACCCTGACAATGAAGATATCACGAGTAGCCTACGAATTATCGTGCTGATTACAGTTCTTCAAGGCCTGGGCGAGCGGTTGTCACGGTCCAATTGTATATGCCCGAATAACTGGCGCCCTTTGAGACACCCGGAGTATTCTACCTAAATGAACCGCACCTTGTCAGTGTATCCACTCATCGGCACCCTCAAGTCGATCGCCACATCATCGAAGGCTTTCTGGCGCCTCAAGAACGGGTTTGATGAGGCCAAACCAAACGTGTACATATACATGTGAGCGTCTGTTCTAATAGCGTCAACGATAAATACCTTCCGCGCAGTTGACAGTGATGAATCCAGGGCTAACGCATGTTCAACGACAGGACTTAATTCTTCGGCCAACTACCGTCAAACTGGGTCGTGGGTTCAGTGAGGAGTTTCAGCCGATCACGACTCTTCTTTCTTAGCAGTCCTGGGGCGGCCATTGGTGTTAGTCTTGCGCGTCCTTCGTGCATATCATAGTGACTGAGCATCTCTATAACCACCTATGCTTCCTTCGGCGTGTGCATTTCCCAGTCCTGGTAAGTCAGCACGTCAAAGACGATCCAAGAGGGGATGGATCACCAGTAAATTTAGTGTTGGGCAGGGAAAGGGAAGCGAAGGTTGGCGGATGATGCGCAAGGAAGAGGACGAGCTCCCCGTGTGCTCACGTATATGCACCCTGTATCAACTCCCAAAAAATCAAATCGAATCAAAACGCCGGCTGTATACTCCCATTACCCGCATGTCCGACTCCCCACCTCGAAAAAAATAAGCTATGCACTCACCAGCTTCTCCTATTCACTCACTCGTGCCCTCCAGAGTCTGGCCTTCACTCCATTTACAGCCGTCGATAGTGAGGCGTGCTTTGCCAAGGGCGACGACGATTAAAAGCCTGTCAACGCAAATGACTGCGCCAAGGAAAGGAGAGCGAGGAGAGGCAGGCGATGGAAGGATCTGAGCAAATGTGATAAGCTCCTCATGCGCCTACCTATATCAGCTTATAAAAGCTTGAATCAATTCTCAATGCTATCCAAAAACACTCCATGTCATCCACATATCTGACGTCCCAGCTTCAACAAAGAAAAAAGTGCTTACCTTCTTTGTTCGTCTTCTTACTCATTAGCGTCCTTCCCAACCTGGCCCCCACGCTCTCCTCCTTAAACCTTCACTCCTTCCACAACTGTCTGTTGAGAGGCATGCTTTGCCAAAGGCGACGAGGATTGAAAGCCTGCCAACGCACATGATTTATTTCTAAAGATATCAGTGCGTGTAGGTATTATAGGCAAATAAGTTACGCACCTGTCTTTCAGAAACACAATTTCCGCGTGCAGAGCACTGACCTCTGTATAACAGAGACGGGCGCTGCATGTTGGGTCGCGCCCAAACTTGAAGGTAGCTGTATCCTGGTCGATCGGGAAAGCTGCTACCTGCTCATTAATCATCTGTTTGCCGCCGATCTGCCGTACCAAACAGCTGCCGTCCATGGTGATTAATTGATTAGCAAGTGCAAGGCAGACTTGAGCACTGCGAGTTTGTTCAAGTTTGTTCGGTTCGCGTCATGCCAAACGTCGTTCATAGCGGTCGCGCAACAACTTATGTACTATGTAGTGTGTACCTAGCTCCGTCGACGACAAGAATGCCGCATCTGAATATCATTACAAAAGTATGATATGACGCTCCAAAGCGTACTTTAATATAGTGCGCGATACACTATCGAGTGCGCGACACACAACATCGAGTGCGCGACACACAACATCGAGTGCGCGACACACTATTGAGTGCGCGATACGTCGAGTGCGCGATACAAAAGCAGCTTGGTTGGGCCTTGAAGCTTCGAAGTCATGTCAATATTTTGAATTTTTCAACAAGCAAGTCTACTATAAGCGCTAGTAACTATTAGTATTAAGTCCGAAAACAAAAAGTAGCAAGGCATAGGCATTAAGGGCTCCATAGTAATCATTATGGTACTAGAAAAGATTCTGAGTAGACGGCAAGAGGACACGAGAGATTAGACGGCAATATTGACATCACCAATAAAATAATCTTCTGACCAGGGATTAATACGAGGAGGGGCAGATGGACTATCGGGGTCGCGGATACCACGCAATATGATATCAGACGGTTGGGGCTCTACGAAGTCGGGTGGCATGGCAACACGACGGCGTTGAACAATGGGTGAATGAAACTGTGTCGAAAGTAAATCAGTGGTGCCGAAACGTGACCCAGTGAAAAAAGAGCTAGTGGAGGGGATAGTGTTTTTGCTTGGGGTCTGTGGTGCCAGAGACAGGTGTCGAATAACATCAGGGAGTTCATCGATATCTGCATTAGAACTTTCTAAAAAAACTGAATTGAAAGTGAATTAAGAAAGTGAAAATTTGCATTAAAATAGGGACACACGTTTCGTAGGCTGTGACTCCTGTGAGGCCGCATTAACAATACTCGATGCTCGGAGATCTGACACTGGCTCCTCAAGCTCCTGCTTCACCACAGCGCCTACTAGAATAATGAATAAGTGAGAGTATATTTCGCAAGCTACACAACACATACCTTTCATTTTTTTGATGACTGGTTTGTATTCCGTGTCGGAGAGAATCTCGATGGACAATGATGTTTGTCGCCCACGTTTGAGCTTTGCAGCAGCTAGAGAGTTGGATAAATTGAAATAAAAGTAAGTGGTTGAAATTAATAAACTTACCTGCACGTGTTAAGATTATTGGTTTCGCCGCCTCAAAACTTGAAGCATCATCAGAGTCGAGAACATTCCATCATCCCCCATCTCTCGATATTCGGGATCCCATGATGCATAGACATGTTCTGGAATTCTTCTCCGCAATGCTGAAGATATTCAGGTTAGCATCAAGAAATTATATAAGACGGAGGCTTCTTACCTATGATGATGTTTGCATCTTTCACAGGGCACTTGGGTCTACCTCGGAATCGTGCAAGATCATTGCCGTCGGGCCTTTCGATATTTACAACGTCGTAGCGGAGCCTCTCCTTGCTTATCAAAACCCATGGGAAAGAAGGTATGCCAATTCCTTTCCCCTTTTCTGTCGAATTGACATATCCAAATGCCAAAGGGAACACTTCATTCTGCAGGTATTGATTGACTTCGTCGTGAGTCCACGTTCGGCTGAAGGAAAACCTGCTAGCAGTCTCGATATGTGCGCATTGACGGCGTTCCATGTTGTGCAATTTTGTCCGTGATGGTGGGATTGTATTGATGAGGTTCCCATCATCCTTCAACATATTGTGTTAGTTTTTCTTGTGCAATGAACGAGATATATATTCTGAATTTACATCGAGACAATTCACCAAGAGAAGCCATTGTGCGACCTTGGTAATTTTATCCTCGGAGTCAAATTGGCTCATGGCCCTTGCTTTACCGGTAACACGACGAAATTGCAACTGCTCTGACTTGTAAGTGCCGCACATCTGTCATTGTGTATTGCGCACCTTATTGTTCTGCGAATTTAACCAGTTCTATATCCATTCATGACTTCATCTCTTGCTTGCTCGACACCTATCTTCTGATCGAGCATGCTTTTGGAAGAGGCAGCAGATTGCAAGGATCTTGCTGCAGACCCTGCGGCGCTGGTCTTTTCCTTGAATATGCTGACGAGTCTCTTTTTTCCAGATGTGGTTCCATCTTGCTTTCGAGGTGCGTCTCTTGTAGGATCCAGAGCTTCGGGATGCTTGCTAAGCCATGTTGGCATTCTCGACAGTAGTATGGAGCATCGGGATTAGAGGGTGGGGTGAAGCATTCACAGGTGCAGGCTTGCCCTCCCTGACGAAAGTCTCGGCAGTATACTTCACGGCGATCAGACATAGCAGTGTGTGGAATGAAGTAAAGATGGTTCGGGGAGAACAAATCAGTGTGGGTCATAGATTTTTTTATTTTGCATAAGCATGGTTATTGACTCGTAAGTCTTGTCATTTATAAGCTTATTCATTCACTACATGTAACTACAAGTATCCTTCTGTTTCGAACAAAGATAATGCTGATAACCCTTGACACCAAAGTGTTGCACGAGCTTCCCAGATAGGATCACTTAACGAGATGGTAATTGATTTTGTTCCGCGCCTTCCAAATTGTAAGACTTCAATCATGGCTGCATCATCACCTTGCTCATCAGGGAGCAAGCCATAACCTTCCGGTACAATGCCCTTGGTAACTATTGCTCGACTGTTGAAAAAAAAAGGTTTTCGTCATGCTGAGTCTCAAAGGGGCTTTTCTTTCCGGGAACTTCAACAGCGGCATGTCGAATATTCCGTTCCTGGTCTTCTTCTATCTGTAGGATGAGCTGATCCTCCGAATAGTGTCTTCGTCATCAGGATGGCCAGCACCAGTCTGCCCATGATGACGAGTCTGCTCTTGCCCATGAGTACCATAGTATTGTTCAATTGTGTCTGGATGAACTCCGTCACAATTGTCTCGGTAAATACCAAGTGTTGCCTGGCTTATCAGTCGCAAATCCTGTGATGAATATGGTGTCAGTTACTTTATGTTCAAATTTTTGACGTGAAATCTCACTTGTGGACTCTTATTGTTTGTTGATGGGCCAGCAATTGGATGGAGGTTCCATTCTTCACGAAAGGTCTTACAGTCGTCATTGATAGCATCCAAGAATAGATTTTGGAGAAGCCACAAATGACCTGTTTGCTCAATATCAAGCCTGTGCAGTCTTTCCAAACGGCTAAAGAATGCCCTCCAACGTCTCACAAATTGTGTTCCTACTTCAACCCAGAGGCGCTCAATCCTCGAATTTCGAGTTGACCTGTGGTTCTTGTGTGAGAAAAACACCCAAAGGATCAAATGATGATACTAGGCTTACGATCCCCACATAAACGAGCCACGATTTGGGCCGTTTCGCATGACCATATAAGTGGCAACATCAATATTTTCACCACCACGGTCACCTCGCATACGTGATGGCATACCATACTCTTCTTGTGCTTTGAGAAACAAATCGAGAACTGTTGTAGCACAATTATTTGTGCTCGTTTCTAGTGCAACCACCTGGACGAGCCATGATTAATTTCTGATGACTTCAACTCGGACTTGTGACATACTGTTCTGCAGTAACCATCAATAAATCCATGGACAACGAATCCCCACCGAATCATCTTATGGTGCCCATCCAAATGCCAAAGAGCATTGGAACGCTTAACTTTATATTTCCTTCTTCGAATAATTTGTTGGCGTCTGAATTGGCGTCCAATTCTGTCAACTCGTTGTAGGGATTGCCAAATTCGCCTATGTTGTACACGGACACCTTGTTGTCGAAGAAAACCAACAAGGTACCGAAACCCAGACTCCGGTCTACGACATTTGAATATCTTCACCAAAGCATCAAGGTCACGGTCACGAAGGTTGGAATAGCACCTTTCAATGCTGTGTTGACGCATGTAGCGCCGTAATGTTGCTGGATGAACATCAACAATCTTTGCTAGCTCAACATGTCTGATGTGATGTTGAGCAGAGGTGGCCTCGATCAAGAAATCAAGGTCTATTATTTTTTTGGGCCGCCCTCGTTTTCCCGTGTTCTCGATTCCAGTTAATTCTGGTATATCAACACGATGCTCCTCTCTGTAAGATCCTGTCTCAGTATCCATGTATCTATCAAAATTTAGGCTTACTCCTCGTTTGCAGTAGTCCCTAGGTGTTCCAGACCCGAAACTACACAGCCAAGTACCATGGCTACATCAGCTAACCATTTGACTGGGAGAGACTCTGACATTTCATCCGAGTCTGTGTTATCGGCATCTGGTGTGAGTGCTTCGAGGATTGGAAGTGCATTTGATGAGATAGCATCCACATGGAAAGCAATACGGGTAGGCTCGGCTCCATCTGCTCGAAGGACTCGGATTGCATGATCGTAAGTGTGTTGGATATTCTCATAGGCAGCTTGGATTTCGGCCGACCAATTTTTGGTTTCAGGGAGAAGTGGAAGTGACAATGACAATGAAGGACTGTTTATGTCCATTGTTTCCGAGAGTCCGAGTCAGTGCAGGTTGGAAGGGTAATAAAATTGTCACCAAGAGTTCCGCGGGCATAATTCACAGGTGACGTGGTCAAGGCATTGTTTTCTGTGTCCGGTTTTATTACTAACAACGAGTTACTCACTCAAGCTGTTCTTCATTCTACTAGTCAACCTTGCAACTATCAGTGGTTCGATGACTGCTCGACACCATCAAATGTTCTACTTCTCAGATGGCACTCACATCTTCCAGGTTCGTGCACCACTTAGTATCTGAATAGTCTCATAGTGGATACCGCGGACTGACAGTGTACTACTACTAGGCAGGACACTCACTCTTTAGGGTGCATGCAAGCATTCTCGGGGATAAATCACTTGCTTTCCGAGACATGTTCGCTGCAAGCCAGGGCACCCAACTTGAACAGGTCGATGGTAGTACTGATGACAGGCCTATTTGTGTGCCGTCGCAAGTAAGCGAAAGTGCATTTGAATTATTTTTGTCTGTCTGTTACAACAAGTGAGTTTTTTTCAAGTTTTTTTCACAACGGACGACTTGGACAAGTCTGACAATTATACCATACAGATGGAGGCCTGATGTCCTCAAAATATGTAACAAAGCTGTTATTCAACTGCTCGAGCTGAGCGACATGTATCTTTGCAAAGATGCACGAGTCTATGCTGTTCACCATCTCCAGCGGCAGCGTTACTCGCTTGAGCCAACACGACTTATCTCACTCGCATTAAAGTACAACGTCAAAGAGATCCTGCCGCATGCTTTCGAGCGACTCGTTTCAGCTCGCATCAATGATATCTCCGACGAGGAATCTCGCGCTGTTGGGTCCATTGTATGGAACACAATGTTCAAAGTCAAGGAACGACTCGATGTACATCGTCGGATCATTGCATGTGAAGCCCCACCTATGGTGCACGCGGGAACTTGCACGAAGCAAAAACTATGCGAGGATGACTGGAAGCAGCTGTGGTGGAACGGAATGGGCAGATTTTTACTGGACGGACGAAATCCCCAGCCTTACAAGGATGCCGTCGAACGCTTCGAGAAACTCGACATCGGACAAATCAATCTCGACTGCTGGAAGGCTGTGTTATATATTGTGAAAGCTCACAGTGCTTTTGATCATGAGCGAAAACTTATTACTCGTACAGCTGATGATCTTGTGAAGTCCTTAATTGTCGAGCCTAACTTCGAAGATTTCGGTCGTCTAGTTCACTAGAATAGATGGTGCGTTGAGCACTTGATGTTGTGTATCGCGCGCTTGGTGTCTTGTGTCGCGCACTCGATGTAGTATGTCGCGCACTCGATGTTGTGTATCGCGCACTCGATAGTGTATCGCGCACTATATTAAAGTACGCTTTGGAGCGTCATAGTATGAAGTGTATCACAAGTACCATGATCAAGAACTATAAGTGCGGCACTAAACTAGTCCACGACACCACGATGTATGCGTCAGGAGAAAGTTTGCGCAAAGTGGTGAACATAAGTACCAAGAGGATGCCACGTGCTGCAACGTACAACGTGACATATAATGCATAGACAATAAGGTACACCGCAGTCGGTATGTCCAGGACGTTAAAGATAAATAAAGTGAAAATACAAGGCCAGGGTGTGCAAGTTATAGCGACGGCACTGATGCGCCATAGCAAGTGTTCCAAGTATGTGGGGAAGGCAAAAGTCCAAGCCACACAATGGATGCCGCCAAATGTGGTTGCCATGAGCAACCCAGCAAGCAAAAGAACCGCCGTGTCCAAATCTTCGAGTTTGATGCTGCCATCAAATGTTAGAACTCGGAGCTTTCGAGATGTAGGAACAGCACTGAGCAAGCCCGACAGTTCTATAATTGGGCGGAAAACTGGAGCCAAGATCCCAAGCCGAGCGAGTTCATCTCTATCACTGGTACTAAGGCAGACATAATCAGCAGCGGTATAATTGCTAACGTGTATACGTACTCAATGTAATTCTCTGGCCTTGATTCGGTCGACTTCCAGTACACTGGATGTGGACATTTCACGTTGAGAGGCTTGTTCCACCACACAGCATAAGTTAGGAAATTGAGAACCGCAAAAGCGAGTGTCCCCACTTCGAGCTGGGTGGTTTCGAGGTGATAGATGGCGCGGGTGATGAGTTGCATAACAAACCAGGCCACTTGAATGATGACCAATCCTTTCGATATCGCATTGCCTTTGCTCCTGTCCTGGATCTGGTTTGCTGTCAGGGTAGGGGCGTCGATACACCTGTCACGTATCAGCATGAGGATCTCGTCAGGCTGTAGTGTGTGGTAGGGGTTCCCGTCCACATAAAGCATGAAACCACCCATCAGCACAAAGAGGCTGTGTGTCTGAGTCCACGTATAATCTAAGGATGCACATGAATCAGCGTTTGGATGAGCACGATTTGGGCTTACCTTCAGATTTCTCTGAGAGATCAGCCTTAGCCAACCCCTTGACCCACCTCATAAGAGCACCAGGGAAATGCCAAAGAAACGCCGGCACAAATAATGCACATTTAGCAAGCACTATGAGAAGGAGGCGAAAGAAGTGAGGGAGGTGAAAGATGCGATGGAGGCGAAAGAAGCGAAGAAGGCGAGGCCACCCTTGGCAGCACTTTTTAGAGCTTGTCAAGGTCTGTTAGACCCGGTTTCCATGTAGGACAAAACACATCTCTGAGACAACCCTCTCGCAAGAGGGTCTCCCTCAAATCCTCAAGAGTCACCAGAATACCCTTGTAGGCCTCGTTGGAGGGTTGGTTCTGGTCGTCTCATGTGGTTCTAGAGAGCCTTTAGCGTGTTATTTTATGTTCCGCTGCCCTCGAGATCATCATATTGTAGGTCCCGCTGCCCTCAAGATAACCTAGAGCCTCTGGTGCTCCTCGCGCATGACTCATGTTTTACCCCCCGTGTTTCTACTTACACCTATGTCATTTTCTCGCATGTTTTCTCTACTTACATTATGTTTTTTTCCGTTGTAGTTGTCATTCTAATAATATATATCACACTGCTGTATCATTGTTCTTAAGATTCAGTGTTTTCAAATGTGTCCTGACGCAATCGAGAGCAGGCATTGGAGCCGCTATACTGACATTGTCAAAACAAGGAGAAGTCAAAACAATAAGTCCATAGTAACATAAGTAGGGTACGAAAGGGACAGGGCAATATGAGCGCAGGATGAGTTAGGAATGAGCAAACCATCATCCGCAGCACGAGACGATGAGCAAAAGTAGCATCCAAAAAAACACGAGCGTACGCAAATTGAAATACAATTAAGATGAAGGGGGGCGAGGAGGGTTAACTGGATCTTGACTAAATGATCGTGCCACATTGTCATGAGGAACATAGTCCAAAGGCACAGTATCGCGGATGTGATCTGCCCATCTGGAATTATGGTAACGAGTCCTGCCTTGAGGGTATCCACCACGGTAAGTTCCTCCACCAAGTGCCCGCCGTTCATCAAGGTCATCGCGTCGAGAGTATCCACTCTCACGAGCATAGTTAGGACCAAGTACCGGACTGTATCGACTTGAGTATGAGCGTTCGCGCTCACTGTGAGCATAATGATCATCACGGTATACCTCCAAGGCTGGTGAGCTATCCCGCATGGCATATTCATCGTTAGTACGAGGCTCAGGTCCATAATGGTCGGGAGGTTGCGAACCAGCATAACGGTGATTGCGAACGTCACGGTGGTAGAAGGCATCGCGAGGGTAGAGAGCATCATGCTCAGTGATTGGGGTATCTTCACGCAGATGGTGGACCTCACGACGACGCACAGCCTCGTGTATGTACCATGGCTCACGAGAATGATTGCGAAGAGGCTGACGAGGATCGCGCGAGGTGTTGCGAGGGACGTGATGGGGAGGGTCTCGAGGGTCCTGACGAGGCTCGCGGGGATCGCGAAGAGGCTCACCCTCATGAGGGTCATTGTGGACAATTTCATGTTGAGGTTCCCGTGAGAGGCGTACAGCATCACCCTTGTCAGAGCCTTGCTGGATACCCTCACGAGGGTCATGATGGACAGAGAGCTCATCATGAGCTTGGGGTGGGTTGGCTGGAGGGTCACGGGAGTCATGAGAGTCGTCAATAGTACGAGGATCCTTGATGGGATTGGTGACTCGAGGTGGTTCCTGCTGATCTCCTCCTGGTCCGTCATCCTGCATCGCCTCTGAAGGTAGGTCCTTCTGTAACGTCTCCTTAGGGACATGATCTAAACCAGAGGAGACACCACTCTTCACAGCTGCAACCGTCTTCTCGCCCTCATCAACTTCAGATCCATCCGAGCGGCCATACGCCATGCGAAGAGCACGTTTCATCTTACCCTTGGATTCCTTTGTGAGTGGGCGTGGTTTTACTAGAGAGTACATAGACGGTAGATCCTTAGCCATTCTGTAAGAATAGCTGTTTCGAAAAAAGGCTTACCCTTTGTGCGCACGTTAGAGGGACCATCCTGGAGGAATGCTGGTACCGTAGCTATACGCCTCGAGTCAAGTAAAGTTAATATAAAATAAAGAGTACTCACCTGCAGTCTCAGGCTCTGGCGATGCTGCTACACTCGATGATCCCACTGTCAATGGGGACAGAGGGCCACCCTTTATCGGAGAAGTTGGTAGGGCAGGCGTTTTGGGTTGCTTCGGCCGTGCAGCCTTCTTCTCCACTTTCGAAGTATCAGACTTCTCGCTGGACGGGGCCGGCCTTTTTAACGCATGTGAAGTATCCACGAACTTCAGTTTCCTCTTCTTCCCGCGTGCTTCTTCATACTCCGATTCAGGCTCTGTGGCGACATTCTCCCCAGCTGAAGTACTAATTTCAATCACCTCGCACTGTGCTGCGGCAGTCGGTCCCGGCTTTCGAGCGACTTTGAGCGGGTGTGAGGGTGGTAGTGTAACGACTCTAAATGGACGTGATGGTGGCGGTTCCATGACATCTACTCGTGTGGCAAATTTTCTGAACTTCCGAGTAGTAGGTACTATTGGATGATCGTCATCCGAATCATCGTCGTCGTTGGCGTCGGCGTTAGGTGGTGGAGGGGCCTTCGTCACTTTATCAGCCTTCTTGACTTTGGTAGTCGCATTGCTGGGCTTGAGACGAGCTGGGCCATGGTAGTCGGTGTCGCCATTAACAAACAGCCGTCTAGCACCAGCATGTGGCCAGTCAGAAGGAGGCGCTATGCCTGTGATGACAGGCCTCTCAGAGGCCATAACAGATGCTGCACATAACATTAGAATCAGAATGTTCTTACAACGAGAATCTTACCTCGATACGCCTTGTCAACTTTGACAACTTTCATGGTTCCTGACTTCAATGCCTCCACGAGCACCGCAATTTCCTTCTGTGTCAGCGCTCCAATGCCCTTATTCTTCGAGTTCTCATTGTGAGTTTCACCAGGCAAGAGACACCTTTCAGTTGGATATCCCTTGATGCAGAGATTGGCGTCAGCAAGTGCGCTGGACATGCCCTTCCAAGGGAAGTTTTTATCCCAGGCACACTTGCCCCCAAGCTGGGCTAGTATACATTTAGTCAGATGAATTAAAAGACCAGTGACGTTCTGACATACCGACTTGTTTGATAAGTTCAAGCTTAACCCACTTCAAAGCATCATCCCGTCCCTCGGGTGCCTGAGACTGATCACGACCATTGTTTGGAGGCGAGTGGGGGGTCAATAGGTCACTGCAAGTATCATCATGGAATGCTTCATCCACCTCGGCCAAGGATGTACTATTACTGTTTGAAGATGTGGTGTCAGTCGTAGCATCAAGGTAGATACAATCATACTTACTACACGTGTGCTTTAAGATGCCCGATGATGGCATCATCACTCGCACGGCATCGTGTTTGCCAGAACTGCATCTTGCTAAGTATACGTGAGGATTTAGACGACAAAGAATCTTACCCCTGCAGCACCTGGTGTGTTATATGAATGGCCGAGTGACCCGTCTTCATTGACCACTTTGCCACATAGGACGATGGCTGCTTCGAAGCCAGATTTAGCGGAGGCAGACTCGAGCTACAATAGCAATGTGAGATGATGACGAAAGTTCAGGTGAGATGACATACAATCTGTATTACTCTTCGATAATGTTTCTGAAATCCCTGTCCACGCTGAGCTATTGTCTGAGTAGATGATCCAAGGAGCGATGCCTCCTCGTGCATGAACAAGAGGTCTTGGTAAGAATCGGGATAGGCCTCTTTGAATTTGTCGTAACACTGCGTGCGCACGGTCGCACCTGTAAGGAATATAAACCTTGTGCAAAAGAAGATGTAATATAGTACTTACTGGGCGTGCCGCCTCCGGCTGGGGCCTCTCTGCCAATGCGCGCAAGTTCCGTCTGCATATGCTCTTTGAAGTAGTTAGCGTACAAGTTCCAGTAATTAATACCATTCACGGTGCGCCCGCGACTCTTCAAGAATAAGTTGATCAATTGGGAAATAGGGAGTGTAGTAGACGTAGAGAGATCAAGAAAGCCGCGCTCGACTGCAGCAAACCCGACCTCTAATGCTGCATTCAGCTCCGCCGACCTGCGTCCAGTAATTGTATGTCCCTCTTGACGGGTCACCGGCTCGCGCTCTTCGGGAAAGCGTTCATGGAATGAAGGACCTGCACCAATAGTATTCATCGAAGAGGCAGCATTAGTCTGGAATGGCGTTGGTGGAATAATGTTCGTTGCTGGGACGGGAGGTGCATGATCTTGAGACAATGACGATGGAACAGGCTGAGGGATGAATGGGGCAACGTCACCAGAAAAATCCTGCGTAAATCCTGAAGGAGTTTGGCCTGTAGCGTAAGGCTCCAGGGAACATGTACGAGAGGTTGCTTGACCCGATGAACTCGTAGGAAAATTAAAACTTGGTGGTGGTGCTAGACGGCTTATGTCCTGCGCGATGAGGTGATGTTGGGTTCCCCCGGGTAAAAAAGACTCAGCCCCCATCATACTAAAGGTGTCAGAGGAGTTAGGATCCATCCATGCAGGTTGCTGGCGCATAGAATTAAAAAAAATATCCTGGATCTGCGCAGGGGTTTGTGGGGTAGGAAACGGTGAGGCATGTCGACTAGCCACGGGGACCGTTAGCGATGATGTTGCGTTTGCCGAAGTATTATCTGGCACCGCGTGGGTGAAATTTGGTGCACCAGAGTGCACAGGTACGAGGTCTTGATCTTCCACAGTGGTGGCGTGTTGATAGGCCTGGCGACGGATAGATGCGCCTTTGACAAGGCCAACATCCCGCGCTGTGGCCTTGAGCTTACTCCTGAGTCGTGACGGAGTCAGCTCAGCAGGTGGTGTTGCGCATCGACGACCACCACCGAATTGTTCAGACATGTAATCAAAGTTATCGGGGAGGCCCATGTAGCTCGAGTGAGGAGACGGTGGGTTATCGGGGTTGTTTTGCGTCATTTCTGCAGTAGATAGTTAATGAGAGAAGAAGTATGTAGGCACACACTTTACTTACCTATATGCGAGATACTAGAGAGAAAATCTGGCGGGAATTCTGAAGGGGCACAAAAAAAACCCCAGAGCTCTGATACTTATGAGGGATCCATCAGTGCAACGGTGTTCCATAGTTTCACTCGGACTAAGAAATGAGCGGTAGAACTAAACAAACGTACAAGACATTAAAAACTATTCGGATAGTAACAGAGACATACAAGTTCAAGAATGTGTGGGCGAGGGCCTAAGTGAGGGTTTGAGTGAGGCGCTGAGGAG